CCTGCCCCCCCACCCCGGAAAAGTCCGTGTTTCAGAGGAAGTGAGCAGACGGACTGGGGGGCTGCCCTCCAGGCCTGGGGACGGCCACGTGATCCTCCTCACACGTGATCTGTGCAGGGAGAACGTGGCACGCTTGGCCTTTGGCCTGCCCTGGGCTGGCACGTGGGAGAGCCTCTGGCTTGCCTGTCTTGCCAGACAAACGGGCCAGTCAGACTCTGTGCCAGGTGGCCAGTGGGTCGGCAGCGGGGGGGGGGGGGGGGGAGGCCCCGAAAAGAGGATAACATATAGGAAAGAAGAAGAAAAGGATTTGATTTTTCTTACGTTTCTTCAGAGAGACGGAACAGCAAAGTACGTTCCAAAGAGAGTTCTCCCATTTCAGATAATATATTTGCACTGAACTCACGTTTCACTTTAAGACATATTATTTTTAAAAGATAAGATTAGTACAGCCGGGGTAAGGAAAAAAGATTGCTATTCATCCAGGGGTGACCAGGTGAAAGACCTGACCCCGTTGTTGTTGGGGAGCCATGGACAAGCTTGGATAGGATAAACGCGTGGAGCAGAGGCTAGCCACAAGGTATAGATAGGAACTCTCGGCCTGGGGCAAGGGATGCTCTGTATTCTTGGTGCTTGGGGGAGGGGGCAACAGTGGGAGGGCTTCTGGTGTCCCGGCCCCACTGTTGGATCTCCTGATGGCACCTGGTACTTTTGGCCACTGTGTGACGGAGTGCTGGACTAGATGGGCCATTGGCCTGATCCGACACGGGATTCTCTGATGTTCTTATGAGAGGATCCCGGTCGGACTCAGGCAGTTGGGCAGGGTCTGGCCAGTCCTCAAAGGGCAATCCTACAATGCCTGGGAACGACTTGGGGAGGAGCCACTTCAAAGAGCCCAAGGCCACGCGTGCACCACGGCTGGGTGGTCAACGCATTCACTGTGCCCCCCTCCCCCAGCAGAGCTACGCCTGTCTAAGCCCACGAATGGGAAAGGGTGTGAACGCTGCCTGCGAGGGCACTGCCCGTGGGAGCTAGGGCGCACAGTGCTGGGCCTTGGCCTCTTCACGGAGCCCAGGAGGTGGGCCACAACGGGAGGGCGGTGCTCCCTCTCAGCGGCGGAGTCCTGTGAGCAAAAATCCTACTTGGTGGGCTCCTGGCATTAGAGTTGTGAGTGAGCGATTTGGCTGTACTGCATAAATTAGTTTGCTCTGGAGCCACATCCTTCCTGAGCAAAGACAAAAATGTGTGAGCCGGAGGCTCAAAAACTGAGCTTACTCACACTGACTCAGCTTAGAGGGAGCCCTGGGGAGGGTGCTGCATGCCATGCAGCCTCCCGGCCATTCTCTGAGCTCCAATACTGATGCAGGCTGCTGGCCTCCTCCCGCAATACCAGCCACAGGCCCTCTGCAAAGGCAGCCCTCAGTGACCGGCACGGAGGTCCGCAGGGGTCTGGCAAGGGGGGCCACTCGGACCAAGGGTGTGGCTGCCACCCTCCCCCACGTGAGGCCTGTGTGGAGACAACCGGAAAGGGCAAGCAGACCCCTGATGACCACTTGTTCACAAGACCTGTCCGCCTTTCCCCAAACGACTGACTCCCACAGGTGGTGTGGAAGGCGGGTCTGTGTCCTGTCCACAGGTGTTCTCCGAGCCATTAGGAAGCTTCACCTTCGCCAGTGGACTGACCGGTGCCCATTTTGACTGATGTGTGTGGAAATTAGAAACTTGGGTGCCTGGATGAGCCCAGATGGTTGGTGGAATCCATGACAGATAAGAACATAAGAGATGCCAATGTTGGATCAGGCCAATGGCCTATCCAGTCCAACACACTCTGTGTCACACAGTGGCCAAAAATACCAGGTGGTGTCAGGAGGTCCACCATTGGGGCCAGGACACTAGGAACCCTCCCACTGTTGTCGTCCCCCCCGAAACACCAGGAATACAGGGCATCCCTTGCCCCAAACCGAGAGTCCCTATCTGTACCTTGTGGCTAATGGCCACTGATGGACCTCTGCTCCAGATGCTTATCCAATTCCCTCTTGAAGCCATCCATGCTTGTAGCCGCCACCACCTCCCGTGGCAGTGGATTCCATGTGTTCATCACTCTTTGGGTGAAGAAGGACTTCCTTTTATCTGTTCTAACCCAACTGCTCAGCAATTTCATGGAGTGCCCATGACTTCTTGTATTGTGAGAAAGGGAGAAAAGTACCTCTTTCCTTACCTGCTCTATCCCATGCATAACCTTATAAACCTCGATCATGTCACCCCTCAGTCGTCGTTTCTCCAAGCTAAAGAGGCCCAAGCGCTTTAACCTTTCTTCATAGGGAAAGTGTTCCAACCCTTTTATCATGCTAGTTGCCCCCTTCTGCACTTTTCCCAATGCTATAATATCCTTTTTGAGGTGTGGTGACCAGAACTGTACACAGTACTCCAAATGAGGTCGCACCATTGATTTATACAGGGGCATTATGATACTGGCTGATCTGTTTTCAGTTCCCTTCCTAATAATCCCCAGCACAGCGTTGGCCTTTTTTATTGCAGTCGCACACTGTCTTGACATTTTCATTGAGTTATCTACTACGACTCCAAGATCTCTCTCTTGGTCAGTCTCTGCCAGTTCAGACCCCATCATCGTGTATTTATAGTTAGGATTGTTTGCTCCAGCTATCTGTCTTGAGAACATAAGAGACAAGCCCATGTTGGATCAGGCCAATGGCCCATCCAGTCCAGCACTCTGTGTCACACAGTGGCCAGAAATACCAGGGGCCACCCACCAGGAGGTCCAGCAGTGGGGCCAGGACACTAGAAGCCCTCCCACTGTCGCCCCCCCCAAGCACCAAGAATACAGGGCATCCCTTGCCCCAGAGTCCCTATCTATACCTTGTGGCTAATAGAAGCAGCCGCCCAGCCAGGCTTTATCGTCTGGCTGCAGGGACCTGCAACAAGGCCCACAATCTGCTCCCAGGGAGGGCCGTCTCTCCCCTCCCCCTCCTGCCCTTCCCAGCCGTGGTTACGACTGGAGACCTCTTGCTGGCAAACTGGTGTGTTTCAGAGGTGCTCTAGGACGGGCATGAACCGAAAGCATTCTTGGGCTGCCTTTCCACTCTGCTGGGGGCAAGCCCATACCCAAAAACATTAAATCAACGAAGACAACATTGAAACCAAACACATAACGAGGGAGGAGAGGCGGGGGGGGGGTGTCAGCAAAAAAGCCTTCACCTGCTGGTGGAAGAAGATGAGAGAAGGGGTCCGAGGGGGGGGGCTCCCCAGGGAGGGGGATTCCATAATCTGGGTGCCACGGCCAAGAAGGCACTTTCTCAGGTGGCCTCAGAGGGCGGGGGGCAGCCCTCTAAGCTGTGGAGTCCTGTGGGCAAAAATTCTACTTGGTGAGCTCTTGGGCATTAAAGCTGTGAGTGAGCGATTTGGCTCCTGCATAAATCAGTTTGCTCTGGAGCCCCATCCTTCCTGAGCTGAGACGAAAATGTTTGGGCTGGAGGCTAAAAGACTGAGTTGGCTCACACTAACTCAGCTTAGAGGGAACACTGGGGAGGACCTCTGAGGATTCCTGGGGGGGGGACAGACAGGTAGGCTCCTGAGGGAGAAGGCAGTCCTTAAGGCACGCGGGACTCCACACACCGTCATCCCCGGCACCTGGAAGTGGGTCTGGAGGAGGCGAATGGGGAGCCAGTGTCGGGGGAACCAGATGTGTAGCAACACGGTCCTGGTGACCCACTCCAGCAGTCAAGGCTGCTCCTGGACCCACTCTTCAGGGGCAGCCCCCCCATCAGCCCTTTGCAGCCCTCTAACCCAGCCCCGGGCTGTGGTGGTGTCTCGATGGTTAAGATGCTGAACTGCAAGACTGGAAGGTCTGTAGCTCGGCAGTTTGAGACCCGAGTGCCACGTGACGGAGTGAGCTCCCGTCTCTGGCCCCAGCTCCTGCCAACCTAGCAGTTTGGAAGCAAGAAATGGCAAGTAGATACATAGGTACTGCCTCGGTGTGGGAAGGTAACAGGGTTCCGTGCGCCTCAGCATCTAGTCATGCCGGCCACATGACACGGAAACGTCTTCGGACAGCGCTGGCATGTTTGGTCCAACTTACATAATAGCAACCTTGGTAGGTGCTTTCTAAAGCTTAGGAGACCTGCCACACATAGAAACTGAATAAAGTTTGGCTGTTAAGAAATTGCAATGAGACTTCCTGTAGTGGCTTTTTGTTCCTGAGAAAGGACCAGAAGTCCGAAACACTGAACAATACCTGGGAAAAGTGTTGATATCTATTCCAGACTTCATTGTTTCCCTTTGAGAAATTTCTATTCTGGACTTTGTTCTTTCTCTTTGAGATATTGTGGACTTTTGTATTTTCCTATGATGGATTACATGTGTTGAATTACCTTTGTGTCGAAGTCTCTTTTTGTTAACTTTGGTGTGG